CCTACCCCCCCCCCCCCCCCCCTTATAAGGCTGTGGCTATAGGCTTAAGGCCGCGCGATCACAAGCAAAGCAAGATCTGTGAGGCATGGGCTGGATATCAAAGGAATACTGCAGAAATGCCGAGGGACCACATGAACCCCCAAATTGGGGTTATTTTCCCTATACTACTATATTTCCGAACTAAGGTATATGGACCCTAAACCCTTCTAGGGTTCAGTTGGCCCCCAAGGGATCTTAACATAGAAGTAGGGTTTGGTCCCCACGTGAGCGTGCTCGTTTCTTTCTTGAGCAGTGCTGTCACTGTACCAACCCGTTTTGTCTGACTTCTCAGGCAGGGGCCGGGGTTGAGGGTTTCGGGTTGGGATTATGAAGGACTCTTGGTAGAAGGGGGAACACCCAACATAACCCCGTAGCCCTAAACCCTTAGCCCTAAAGCCCAGAGACTTCTTTCAAGGGGAAGATCCGAAGTTTGGTCAGGGTTTAGGGTTTAGGGTTTAGGGCTTAGGGCTTAGGGCTTAGGGCTTAGGGTTTAGGGTTTAGGGTTTAGGGTTTAGGCTTTAGGGTTTAGGGTTTAGGATTTAGGGTTTAGGGTTTCGGGTTTAGGGGGTTGAAGGCTGCGAATCCCTTGGAAAACCCGTAGAGCCTCAACCCTGAAGCCTTTAAGATCCTTCACATGGAATGTTTCCCTAAACCCTAAACCCTAAACCCTAAACCCTAAACCCTAAACCCTAAACCCTAACAGTCCCTAAATAGGGATTGAAATAGGGGGTGGGTGGGTACTATGATCCCGATTAAGGACTGTTAGTGTAGGGGGGAACATCCCAACCCTTAACCCTAGGCTCTCAGCCGAAAACCCCAAAAAAACCCGCAACCCGCCCTGAAAGTCCGGAACCCTAAACCCTAAACCCTAAACCTTAAACCACAAACCCTAAACCCTAAACCCTAAACCCTAAACCCTAAACCCTAAACCCTAAACCCTAAACCCTAAACCCAGGGATGGCGAGCCGTGAGCGCAGGGGCCCCCAGGAGAGTCTCTTAGGATGGGGCGCGAGGAAAGGGCTCGGTAGCTGTTGGGCTATTAATGGGGTTGATATGTATATGGGTTTAGGGTTTAGGGTTTAGGGTTTAGGGTTTAGGGTTTAGGGTTTAGGGTTTAGGGTTTAGGGTTTAGGGTTTAGGGTTTAGGGTTTAGGGTTTAGGGTGTATATGTATATGTGTATTTAGATGGAGATGCTGTTTTAGTTTATGCATTTGCACCCCCCCCCCCTGCGATGCCCTTTCCACTTTTTCCGGAGCAATTTCCAGTTCCCCTATCCACTTTTTACGATTACCCTTTCCACTTTCCACTACTCTTTTCGGACCAACCCCCTTTCCACTTTCCACTTCCACTTCCCATTTTTTTGGTCCGAAGCGTCCGAACCCCCACACCTCAAACAAAAGGAAGAAGGGCCAGTGAGTGGACAGCGAATAGCTTAAAGTGGAAAGTCGCAAGTAGAAATGGCATAGGCCCAAAGTCACTTGGAAAGTAGCAAGTGGAAATGGAAAGTGGTAAGTGGGGCTTTCGTCGGGTATGGGGTGTCGGGCTTAGGGTATGTATGGTTTGTGTGGCTTAGGCCAGTTTAGGCTTTGAATATGAGGCATTACGGTTTCGGATGAAGCTAGAGTAACTCCTGGGAGTTTGGGCAGGTGTCCTTCCGGGCAAGGATACAACGCCACTTATAGTTAAAGAGACGTCCTACAGTGGTAGTACTTTCCCTCGGCGTAGACTTGAGAGTCTGAGGAGTTCGGTCCTTTTCTGGCCAGCCAGTGCCGGCAGACATAGGTATTGACACGTGAATGCTTCAGCAAAGTGTTGAGGCTGGGCTAGCGCCGCCGCCCCCACCACCTCCACCCCCTCTGCCACCCACGCAACCCTCACAGCCCACACGGCTGGCAACACCCACGCCCGCACCACCTCCACCAAATCTACCACCACCTGTGGCGCCTCCTGCACCTGCTTCCACCCCTCCCACGCCTGCGGCCGCGCCCGCGGCCGCGCCGGCAGCCGCGCCGGCATTGAAGCCTGTGCCGGAGGCTGCCAAGGCCCCACCGCAACAACTGCCACCACCGCCGCCGCCCTCGCCTCAGCTGCCACTGTCTGCCGTGGATTCGGAAGTTCTGGTGGCTGTGGTTGGGGGTAGAGGGTGTAGTTGTAGATGGGGTTTCCCGGACTGCAGTTTCAGTCCACAGTTAGGAGTACGTATTCAGAGGTGATATCGCAGAGAAGGCACCTTGGCATCCATCAGTGGGTGGTGTGTGTCCCATAAACCCTGATCCCGATGCTTTAAACCCTCACACCCTCTACAGGCCACGAGCCCTAAACCCTAGACCCTAGACCCTAGACCCTAAACCCTAAAACATAAACCCTAAACCCTAAACCCTAAACCCTAAACCTCAACCACATGCCCCAGCAAGCCCGACACATCCACTCCAACCAATCTTCGTCTCCCACTTTTCAGCCCCTGAACTCCATGGTTTAAGGTTTAGGGTTTAGGGTTTAGGCTTAGGGTTTAGGGTTTAGGGTTTCAGGGTTTAGGGTTTAGGGTTTAGGGTTTTGGGTTTAGCGATCCAAGTCCTAAACGCCCTTCCAAAAAAACTCGTCAAGCCCCCCCGCCCATCCCCCTTACAACCTTCCGAAAACCCCTACCCCTTTTATACAACCTTCCTAAGACCCCTACAACTATAGACAACCTTCCTAAAACCCCTGTACCTGAGCCCGCAGACACCTAAACCCTAAGCCCTAAACTATCAACCCTAAACCCTAAACCCTCAAGAGCAATTTGCCGTTGGGATCAGGGTGCCGCCGCATGTGGGTTCTGGACGGGCGCCAGGCAGTCAAGGTGCTGGGTGTCAGAGTCATGGCTGAGGGGTTTAGGGTCTAGCTAGGGTTTAGGGTTGAGGTATAGAAGGACCTTAAACCCTAAACCCTAAACCCTAAACCCTAAACCCTAAACCCTAAACCCTAAACCCTAAACCCTTTTTTTGTCAGGGGCTTTGGTCGGACATGCCAGGAGATGCGCTCTAAAGTGGTTTAGGCGGCTATTTCAGGCCTCCACGGCGGCCCATTTTGGGGGGACTGGTGTTTCAAAGTGCAGGGCTTGTGGGTTCAGGGGTTTAGGGTTTAGGGTTTAGGGGTTAGGGTTAGGGAAGAACTCTTGTGGCTTCAGGAGTTTAGGGAAGAACCCGTGTGGGTTTAGGGTCTTTTGGGTGTTTTTGTCGGTTTTTTGAGGTTTTTTTCGGTGCCGACTGGCAGAAGAGAGATCCGAGGAGCTGAGCGATGAAGGTTTTGGGTTTTAGATGCAGGTTTTGGTGTTTAGGCTTTGTTGCCCTGAACCCTCAACCCTAAGCCCGAAACTCGAGACTGAGCAAGCGAGAGTGAGTGAGAGCAAGAGAGAGAGAGAGAGAGAGAGAGACAGAAAGAAAGAAAGGACATAAGCAAAGAAAGAATGAAGGAAAGAAAGAACACAAAGGAAGACACATATGCCGAACCTAAACTTTAATCAGAGACATGCGGTGTTTCTTTCACAGTTGGGGGCTCAAAGGGTTTAGGGTTTAGGGTTTAGGGTTTAGGGTTTAGGGTTTAGGGTTTAGGGTTTAGGGTTTAGGGAAGACCCCTCGTAGACATCGGGGAAGGGCAGTGGTGGAATTCCAGGAGTTTAGGCCGTAACTGCAGTTTGGGCAGTCGTTCTTGCACCCAGAAGATCTGTGACTAGCCTAAACCCTAAACCCTAAACCCTAAACCCTAAACCCTAAACCCTAAACCCTCAGCGAACCCCTGAACCCTCAACCCCCCCCCCCCCCCCGGCCCCTCGTTGCCCGAAACTGGAAACCCTAAACCAGAGGTCAACAGTATCTGAATCTTGACAATGCGCAGATGAAGAGTGCATCGCTCTCAGTTGTATCCTGATCTTCATGATGAACGCTGAAACCCTCACCCTGAACCCTATTTAAACCCTAAACCCTAACCCCGAAACCCAAAAACACCTTCAAACACCCTAAAAACCCTAAAAACCCTAACCCTAAACAGCCTAGAAACCCTAAACACCCTAAACACCCTAAACCCCCTAAACCCCCTAAACCCTAAGCCCTAAACCCGAAACCCTAAACCATAAACCCTAAACCCTAAACCCTAAACCCTAAACCCTAAACCCTAAACCCTAAACCCTAAACCCTAAACCCTACCAACACCCAGAGGGAGGATCAGCTTGCTTGGCTCAAGTGGGAGCGGTTCCCGGCACCTTGGCCGCGCGTTTCAATGGCCAGTACCGGGCTGGACTTCCCTGCACCTGAGCAGCAGACGTGTAGGGTTTAGGGTTTAGGGTTTAGGGTTAGGGTTTAGGGTTTAGGGTTTAGGGTTTAGGGTTTGGGGTTTAGGGTTTAGGGTTTAGGGTTGTTCCAACGAGGGTCCATTTTCCAGGTAAGTGCCCCTACATTGAAGGGCCCCACACTTTGAGAGAGGCGTGGCAATCTGAATTTGTTGTTTAGGCATCAGCGGTTCTGCCCTAAACCCTAGACCCTAAACCCTAAATCCTAAACCCTAAACCCCAAACCCTAAACCCTAAGATCTGTAGTGTGCTGCCAGTTGGAGGTCTGGGACTTGTCGTTCCTCTTATGGCACAGACACTCCTCGACCTTCCAGCTCCGCAATAAGCAAGCTTGAAATACTGCACTCTTGCCCTTGGTTGGCCCTTGGGATAGTTGATATTTTCCCTTGTTGGGTTTAGGATTTAGGGTTTAGGGTTTAGGGTTTAGGGTTTTGGGTTAGGGTTTTCCGAGGGTCATATTTAGGACTATTTTCAGAGGGTTTTCAGGGCCATCCTAGTGCCCACAGCGCTCATGAGATGGTTCATGCGACCGGTGCTTTTCTCTGACCCTCAAAAGCTCGTCTGATGCTTGAGACTGCCTCTGTAGACGCGTCTCGGATACCTACGGCTGCCTCTTGAGTGCACTGACCGCCTGCAATGGCTTCACTGGCCAGCCTTGTTCTGCTGCAGAACCGGCTGGCGAAGGAGAGGGCCGAGGTAATGGACCAGATGTCCGGTTGGGATGAGGAGATCCGCCGGAAGAAGCACATCGTCACGGAGTTGGAGAGGACATTAGAGGCCCTCCGCGCAAATCCTGCGGCTCCTGGGCCTCGAACTGCTGCAGAGGTCTCAGGAGCGACTGAAGCTCCGGGCTCCCCCAAACACGCGCATGAGGGGCACGAGGAGCTCCTGCGCCGCTTCTCTTCCGCTCTTGCTGAGCTTCCGACCTGGCCCACACATCAATGGCGTGAGGCCAGCTTCCAGGCTCATTTCAGCTCCGCCGCCGATGGCCAGCTCGCAGAGCTTCTTGGTGGCCCCTTTTTTGGGGTTCCAGGCTCCCTTATCCATAGCAACCAACCCCAAAAAACAGGGGTGCCCTTATTAGAATATGGTTACTGGGCTACGAAGGTTTCTTTCAGCCTTATCACCGGAGCAGCGGCTGGTCTGGGAGTTGCAGAACCCGTCGGAAGTGAGCCCGAAGCTAGACACTTGGTCATAGTTGGGTAACATTTTACAATGTTAAGGGTACTTAAACCCAATAAGAATATAAATTTAGATTATTAATATTATCCCAACCATGAACTAGGACAGAGGCCTCCTGGGTGCCTTGAAGGAGGGCGGCAGGAGCGCCGAGGTGGACGTCCTGATGGCAGCAGCAGGGAAGCCTTCCGAGGCAGAACAGCAATATCGGCCACTGCTCTGGCTACTTATAGTAGCTGAGTGAGTACACTTTACACTTTTTTGGGATACTATAAATCCCCTATAGAGCTGAAAAGTGTGCACTTTTGGGGGGGCTTATGAATTCAGCAACTAAGGCTATGCTTTCACAGGCAGCTGAATGCGTCCCACATCGAGCAAGGTGCTGGCGGCCAGTCACTGCTGACGTTGGCCTGCCGCAATGGTTGCTGGGTAGGCCCTTAAGACAATTTGATGTTTTCCCTTGTTGGGTTTTCAGAGGATCATATTCAGGAAGATGTTTCAGAGGGTTTTCAGGGCCACCCTAGGTTGGTGCGATGTTGCTAACGAGCTTTTGGAGCGGCGGGCAGACGTGCACCAGCGCAGCGGGACGCAGCTGACGGCGCTGTCAGCCGCCTGCGCGCGGGGAAGCGCGAGCTGCGCAGAGGTCCTTCTACAAGCAGCTGCAGATCCCAATGAGGCAAGCAAGGGTCGCAGCGTGCTCGCCCTTGCCAGCAGCGTTCCTACATAAGCCCTTGGGATAGTGTTCTATCTTCCCTTCTTTGGGGTTTAAGAGGATCATATTCTGGAATATTTTTCAGAGGTTTTTTTTTCAGATGTTTTAAAGGCCATCCTAGGTTCCTTCCGAAGGCCCAGGCCTCGAAGTCGTGAGGAAGCTCCTTGACTTCCACGCCGGCGTGCACCAGGTCGGCCTTGACGGTCGTACGCCTCTCATGGAACCTGGGTAGGCCCTGTGGGAGACATGTTTTATCTTTCCCTTTACTGGGTCTATATACAGAGGTTCATGTTTTGGGGAATTCAGAGGGCTTCAGAAGTAACCCCTTAAACCCTAAACCCTAAACCCTAAACCCTAAACCCTAAACCCTAAACCCTAAACCCCAAACCCCAAACCCTAAACCCTAAACCCTAAACCCTAAATCCTAAACCCTAAACCCTAAACCCTAACCCTAAACCCTAAACCCTAACCCTAAACCCTAAACCCTAAACCCTAAGCAGCCTAGGAGGCAGCTGCGGCTGGTCGTAGCCACTGCTGCGACGCTCTCCTCGAGGCAAGAGCCGACCCTTGGGGACGAAATAAGCCCTTTTAGGGTTTAGGGTTTAGGGTTTAGGGTTTAGGGTTTAGGGTTTAGGGTTTGGGGTTTGGGGTTTGGGGTTTGGGGTTTGGGGTTTGGGGTTTGGGGTTTGGGGTTTAGGGTTGAACCATATACCTTCATAGGAATTATAGTAGTGCAGGGTATATGACTCCAATGTTAGGGTTCACATTCCCTTAATAGGGATTGTAGTAGTGTAAGGTATATGACCCCAATTTTAGGGTTCATATTCCCTTCATAGGAATTGTAGTAGTGTAGGGTATATGACCCTAGACCCTAAACCCTAAACCCTAAACCCTAAACCCCAAACCCTAAACCCCTGAATCCTAAACCCTAAACCCTAAACCCTAAACCCTAAACCCTAAACCCTAAACCCTAAACCCTAAACCCTAAACCCTAAACCCTAAACCCTAAACCCAATCTTACGGTTCATGTCGTCCCCAAGGACCCATCGGACGAGGACAACGAGGGCAAGACCGCTGCCCAGCTGGCGAGAACGAAGCTTGGTAGGGTTTAGGGTTTAGGGTTTAGGGTTTAGGGTTTAGGGTTTCGGGTTTGGGGGCAGCCCAGTGGTGCCCTTTTCCCTTTTTTGTTTTTACTTCCAGGTTCTCTTCTAAAGTAGCCTACCACAAAACAGGGTATAGTAACCCTAAACCCTAAACCCTAGACCCTAGACCCTAGACCCTAAACCCTAAACCCTAAACCCTAAACCCTAAACCCTAAACCCTTACTAGAATGTGGTTGCTGGGCTACCAAGGAAAGGCTTCGGGGAGCTGGCAAAGAAGTTGGAGGAGGTTCTCAACACAAGCATTCGCGATCCTCCGCGTGGCTGAGACCCTATTGTAGCAGAACATTGCTCTATTTCTTATGGTATGTATATTCGGGTATAATATTACAGCATTTTAGTAGGTTTTCGTACAGTCTAGTACCCTGGTATATGGTAGATGATTATAGGCGATTTACTCGGGGGGCCTGCGGGGTAGAGTTATTGCTGCGGAGTCTCGTGTCCTATCTGCAAATGCGGAAGCCGCAATCGACGTGCGGCCACTTGCGTTCGTGGCACGCCGCTTTCAGAAATAGGAGCGGTGACCGTAGTCTCTGGCTTTCTTGTCCGCCCTCAGAAGTAGGATTTAGGGCTTAGAGTTTAGGGTTTAGGGTTTAGGGCTCCTCGCTGAACCCAACCCCTAAACCCTAAACCCCAAACCCTAAACCCTAAACCCTAAACCCTACATCTGAGAACGAATCACTTACGAAACAGATCAGGTGAGATGACCCCTTCCTTGGGGACGAAATGAACCCTAAAAGTGGGGTCATACACCCTATACTCCCCTAAACCCTAAGCCCTAAGCCCTAAATTCTAAAACCCCAAGCCCCAAACCCTAAACCCTGAACCCTCAACCCTAAACCCTAAACCCTAAACCCTAAACCCTAAACCCTAAACCCTAAACCCTAAACCCTAACAAGGTATACGGACCATAAACCCTTTAGGGTTCATGTCGTCCCAAAGGTCGCGGTGTGCGAATCCATCACCGGCTCAGAAACCATAACCCAACTGACTTCCTAGAGCCCCTCAGGGCACTTAGGGTTTAGGGTTTAGGGTTTAGGGTTTAGGGTTTAGGGTTTAGGGTTTAGGGTTTAGGGTTTAGGGTTTAGGGTTTAGGGACACTTTCTGAGCAAGTGTCTCAGTCAGCCGAGTACGCTGCAATTCGGGAATGCACCTTAAAATATGGCTAGGGTTCTCATTATGAAAACTAGAGTATGCATTAGGTGCTCGTTCTCTTCAGGCATAGGTCAGCCCATGCCTCTCCTAGCTCTAGGTGGACGCAGATGGCAAGCGGAGCACCACAGGACTGGATGGGAGTTGCAAGATGAGTGTTTAGGGGTTAGCCTGAGCTCTAAGCGCTGTTCCTTTCATTCACACGCTTATAGCTTTAGTAGTGTGACCTTCTGGGACCCCAGTTGCAGGGCGCAAAGGTACTAAAGGAGTGATTCAGTGAACGCTTGAGAATCTAAGGAAACACAGAGCACACAAGCCTGAAGCATGTGCTGGGTGTGCCAGTGTGCACTGCTCAGTATATGCTATGGCCGACATACCTCTCCTTTAGGTAGTTCCTACTCATTTGCCCATTCACGGCTTGAGGTTCGTCCATTTTCGGACTTTCCCGTCTTATTTGCCCTAAACCCTAAACCCTAAACCCTAAACCCTAAACCCTAAACCCTAAACCCTAAACCCTAAACCCTAAACCCTAAACCCTAAACCCTAAACCCTAAACCCTAAACCTAAGCCGAAGACCCTAGACCACTGCGCATAAACAAGATCCCGCTTTGCAGGCCATTGCTGCTGTTGTCGGCGCCCCACTTTCTCTAGACACTGAAACCCGACAGTATGTGCTGTTGGGCATTTGCGCCCCTGTACACATACTACTTCGAAAAAAGCGTGTGAATAAGGTCATTAAAAAAGTGTGAATAAGGTTGGTTTACTCAAGTAATCAAATTTCAGCAAGGGTTGTAATAGTCGTGATCATGTTTTGGGATGTTCCCCCAATATACTCATAGTCCTTAATAGGAATAGTACTAGGGGGTACTATAATGCAAATTAAGGACTGCAAGTACAGGGGGAACATCCCAACCTAGAATCCCTAAAGTCCTAGAATCCTAAACCCTAGAACTCCTAAACCCTAAACCCTAAACCCTAAACCCTAAACACCCTAAAAGCCCTAAACCATAAAGGTGCGTAGGAATCCTGTTTGATTGCCAGGAACGAACCAGGGGGCTTTCGCGGCGGCAGTGAAGGGCTACAAGGAAGCGCATGAGGCCTCCCTGGGCACATGTTTAGGGTTTAGGGTTTAGGGTTTAAGGCTTAGAAGGGTTGGGCCATTGTGGGTTCAGGGTTTATCGGTACCTGGTTTCTTGGTCTGCCTTGGAAGCGGTAGCGTAGTGTCCATCCTATCACGCCTCTAGGAATTTCCCCGCGAATCTACCGTTCAGTGGGGCGACCCTTTCTTCATGGCTTCGGGTTGTTGTAATTTAGTCACTAACTGGTGCACGAATCACTTCAACAGGTGCTTTAGTCGAACCTCAACGCCCAAAACAGGGTTGGCATCTGGGGCTGTCAGGCATTTAGGGAAATCCTTCAACTGCTTTAGGGGTTAGGGTTTAGGGTTTAGGGTTTAGGGTTTAGGGTTTAGGCAAGGACTCATGATATTAATGTGCGCAACAGAACACTCAGGCTTTTGGGGGAGATCGTGAGGGGCCTTGGCCCTACAAAGTCAACCCCTTGCACTTCCACAGCCCATATGGGAGTTTGCTCATCTTAAGCGGGAGTCAGTTCCCTTAAACCCGAAAGCCTACACAAACCCTCAATCCCCTGCAACTTGAAATGTCTTGTCTTGTCTGTCCGCTGAGCAGGATTCAGTGTCGTGAACGGTACCTCCACAAGCAAACCAACAGCACATCACCGCCGGAGCCTGCGCATGCACACAAGGCGCATGAAGGAAGCAGATAAAGCCGTGAAAGATGCGCAAAGGAATTACGTACGTAGGTCTTGCTTTCATTAGAGAACAAGCATTAAGCACCTGATTTTAGCCATGGTTCTAAGGTGTTTTGCATAGGAACAGCAACCCTCAACCCTAAACCCTAAACCCCACACCCTAAGCCCCAAACCCGAGACCCTAAACCCCAAACCCTAAACCCTAAACCATAAAAAATCCTAAACCCTAGCCATCTCGGAGCACCCTCAGGCCCTTGCCTACCCAACTAGGACCCAGAGCGGACCCTGATTCCTTCTCCCCCTTTTTTTAGGGTTTAGGGTTTAGGGTTTAGGGTTTAGGGTTTAGGGTTTTAGAATTTAGGGTTAGGTTTAGGTTCCCTTACAAGCCCCTTTAAACAAAAAGGGTACCATTTTGAACCATAGCCCTAAACCTTAAAGCCTAGACCCTTGACATTCCCAGGTTTCTCCTGGGTTTTGGCAAGCTCTGGACATTAGATGCAGGAGTTCAGACGAATGATTTGGGTTCAAGGTTTAGGGTTCAGGGTTTATGGTTTAGGGTTTCTTATTATCGTGATCACCAAACCCTAATCCCCAAACCCTAGACTTGCTTGTTCTTTTGGGGAGACAAGGAACACATACCCTACTTCATATGAAGGCGGTGGTGGCGGAGAAGAAGTGGCGTTTTGGCTATGCCGGGCTCTCAGGACGTTTGCCTTGACCGAGGGGGGGGGTGTGGGGCGCGGGGTGGATGCTAAACCCTAAACCCTACACCCTAAACCCTAAATTTGGTTTGCGGTCTAAGAGGTTTGAAGTCCAAGGTTTGGTGTTGAAATTGCCGCTTTGCCGTTGTGTAGGGCTGTGCTTTTTGGACACCTGCAACGAAAAACCCTCTAATACATTTTTGTATAAACATACATATATGTATACACATATACATATACATGTATCTGTATATGAATATGAATATATATATATATATTCCACATACATGCACATGACCACGTATGTTCAAAGATAACGGTTGACGTCGCAAATAGCTTCGTTCTAGACCCAAACCCTAAACCCTAACCTAAACCCTAAACCCTATCCTAAACCCTAAACCCTAACCCCTCAGCTTCAGGTAAAGCACGTAGTGCGGCAGACGCAGCTGGCCGCCACCTCTGAGGAGGCCGCTTTGGGCAGCCTGGAGAGACATTTTTGTGTAGGGTTTGGGGTTTAGGGTTTCAGGGTTGAGGGTTTAGGGTTTAGGGTTTAGGGTTGAGCTTTTGAAAACAGGCTTTTAGGATCCGAGGGTTCGGGGTGAACCGAAAACCCTGAACCCATGAGCCCCAGTCCAGAGGCTACTTAGGCGAAAGGTTTTGAGTCCCCTGGCTTCTGCTTTGAAAGGGTTTAGGGTTTAGGGTTTAGGGTTTGTTTTTAGAGTTTTGGGGGCTGAGGTTGAGGGATGTTCGGGCCTTCCTGGCCTCAGAGAATCAAGTAGAAAACCTCCTGGCCATGTTTCTTCAGGGGATATACCTCATATAGTATCTATATACCTAAGTAGCCCCTGCATGTACCCCTAAGGTCCCTTATAAGGGTCCCTCCTTGATGTATTGAACTTTAGGAAATGGGTTTAGGGTTCAGGGTTCGGGGTTTGATGCTTAGGGTTTTAGGGTTTAGGCGGCTATGGACCCCAACCTAGGCCTCAACCCGTTAAATCCGAAACCAACCCGTGGGGTGCCCATCGCACCGCAAGCACGGAGCAGTTTTCGGCCTTTTGGGATTTTGGGGTTTGGGGTTTAGGGTTTAGGGTTTGGGGTGGTTTGGGGTGGCAAGGTATTGCCAAAGATGGCCTCGACTACTTGCACTCACACATGGAATTCTGCAGCTCCCTGTCCGCCGCGCATGTTTTTTTTTTTGGGGGGGGGGAGGTAAGGGGCCCTCAAACTCTATAAAGAACCCTAGGACCCTACAACCCTGAACCCTAAACCCTAAAGCCGAACCCTACACTGTAAAAGGGGGGAAGGAAGTAGGAGCTGGAGAGTCGCTTCGGGCAGTGGCCGTACTTCTGCTGAAGTTCGGACTCACTGGTACTTATGGTGAAGTGAGAGGGTGCATCCCGATGTTTGGGCTAAGGGTTCAGGGCTTAGCCGGCCCATATCCCCGATGCATGCCCCTTGATCGTACGCCCCAAACCATGCTGGTCTAGGGCTGAGTCGTGCAACTTGTTGTGGGAAGTACAGGGTGCCTCAGCCAGATGCTCTACCCTAAACCCCAAATAATCCTAAACCCTAAATCTTAAATCCTATACTACACCCTAAACCCTAAAGCGCTCTGTGTCCAGCCTGGGCCCCCTGAACCTTA